GTGGACGCGGGACAAGAGCTGTCGCTGCGGTTCGGCTGTCAGTTCTACGAGGTGAGCGCGGCCGAGAACTTCGCTGGCGTGTCGCTGGCGTTTCACTCGCTGTTGCGCGAGACGCGSGCGGTCCAGCTGCTCCGCGGGCTGCCGATCAGGCGCAAGCTGGGCGTGAACAGCGTGTCCAAGGTGCTGGGCACGATATTCGGCAAGAACAGCAGCAAACGCGACCGGAAGAAGCGGCCGTCGCTGAGCATATGACCCGCGTGGGCGTCCGCCGACACGGCCACCGCTGCGGGCGCTCCGAACACGACGCTCACGCTGTGAACACGTACGCGAAGAAAAAGAAGATGTAGAGAGAAAAATCGAAAATAGAAAAATCAAAAAAAAAAAAACAAAATAGACGATAAACAAAATATAAAAAAAATTCCCCTCGAGTTCCACCGCCACCCATCCCCACCACACCACCGCTCACGTCCTCGCAGGTCGCGATTTTGTTACCACTGCCTTCGAAGAGTCGTCCACGTCGTCGTCGTCGTCAATMGCATCATAAAATACGATAATAACAAAATCGCCGCAGGTTTTTGGTACAATATCTGTTGCTGTGACGACGTGTAAAATATTATAGATTTAAATGGCGGCGATGGCAGGACTCGTGTGACGTCCGTTTCCGTTCCGCGGATGATGGGCGACGAGGAGAAGCCGATACAATAATACGGCGAAAGCGTACGTCATCGCGATATGTGCGTCCTATCGTCGAACTCGACGAATTTCGTGCGGGATAGGAGTCTGTCGATGACCTAACTTAACCTACCCGGTCGTCGATGGTYCAAAAACGCGGCATCATTCAAAAGATGGCACCGTTTTGGCCCGTTATTGTGCGCGGTAAATACAAAATTCTTCGGAAAGCCGATGATTCGGTTTTGAGAGAAGCAAACCGCGTGTCTTATATATACCGACGACGACGACTGAATGTGCAAAAACAAAAAAAAAAAATATTTATAAATGAACGATTCGCGTTTCTTGTGCGTGAGAACAAATTTTTCGCCCTTTTGGACTTTCGGTAGAAAAAAAAACAACGAAAATCATACTTACCCACCGATTCGTCATGCGTATACTGATGAGTCTGTCTGCGGGGAACTTCCGGCGGCGGCGGCAAAGTTTCGATGATTACGAAGCACGACAATTATTGTTGTATGTCAATGACTTGCTATTCGTACGCAAAAGTCCACGAAAAGCTGATCGACGAATTATTTTCAAGTATTTTTCAGGTTACTCGGAAGTCGAATATTCCATCCCTCGCAGAATCTCCTCACTACCGCCGCTCACTCATTCTCTCTCTCTCTCTCTCTCTTTTTGATCTCATGAATCAAAGTATTTTGAACGATTATGTTTCATTAACTCAATGTATTATTATTATTATAAGTATTGTCAGTGTTACTGTACGTCATGTATTATTATTGTAGCTTTTATAAAATACATTTAATTAAAAAAAAAAACTATTCTGTACAACAATTATATCAATTATTATTAAATACATTTTAAACAATTAATTAATCGGCATACCTGACTCACACACACACCTAGTGCCACGTGATTATTCAATGTTTTATATGAATAGTCTACGGAGACATCTTCAGGTGTGCACGGATCATATTTTAGTATTTAAAGAACATATGAATGTCAATTTTTTTTTTTTTGTCAATGTATATAATATTATAATATAATCGTACAAGTGATGTACAAGGATTATTACTTATTAGTATCTAATAGTATCATATTAGATTTGTTGTTAACTATAATTATSTGTTAATATCGACAGCTAAATCGTATACAGGAAGCGTTGTCAAATGTGCAAACCATTTACCGAGATCCGAATTACGTTGGTGTGAGATGTAAATATTATGACACTATCAATTTGAATGGAAATTGAAAAGTGTGAGTTGGTAATTTATAATATTTATTATGTCAAAAAACCCTATTTTATTATTGTCACACTCCTCGTTGCAATTTTTTTTTCTGTACCATTTGAAAATAGTGATAATACACATTCGTGTGTTACCAATGTTTTCATGTACTCAACCTAACTACACTGCATAATATAATATATATTATATTATATTAAACTATACACATTTATGTATGTACTTCTGTGTGTTKTAATAATAATTATTAATTGATGCTGTAGTCAATTGATTTTACATGTATCCATTAAAAATTTCTGCAACTATCGAATTAACAGTATTTCAGTATTTTATTATGTTACTAGTAACGTTTCTGTTCAATATATTATAATATTATACTGTAGACGTTATAAATGCTACGTTATTGTGTAAATAAAGGCATTTTTTATACTTACAAATAATATATATTGTATGTGTCATGAAATGCCGGTGTGTATTATTTCAAATAATAATTTATTTGAATTATTTAAATCATCAATACTTGGTGTTGACGTATTTTAACAAAAACAAAACAAATAAAACATTGTGTTAAAATAAAAAAAATATGATTTAATATTTGTGTCTTTGTGATGCTTAATAAGTTATAAATAATTATGTCTTGGCAGTTAAGAGATCTCCACACAGATGGGTTATAATTCGACCAGTCTATCAAAATATTCCTTCTTCTTAATAGGGTCAGGAATTATCTGAAACATACACATTAATTTACTAATAATATTTGAATTTACATTTGCTAATAATAGTGTGTATAAAAAAACAAAATTGCATACAAATATTTTTTTAACACTGAAATATAAGTGCAGTGTACTTTATACACACTATTTAGGACATGTTGTTTTTTTTTTTTTTATAAAAACATTTTTTTTTTAAATATCTGTGATGACTGATGAGTTATGAAAACTATACTGTTTAAACATAATATTAAATCAAATATTATATTTTACTGAGATTAAAAAATAATATTTAACAAAAATATATACCAAATTTAAATCAGAAACACGAGTATATGAAATGAGTAAATTATTTTCACAGTTTGCAAGTTCAGAAGAATTTAATTCATTTTTGTCAAAACAATTAAGTTAAAATGTGCCCTAAAAGTATATCTCGAGAGTAAATATTAAAGTTAGGAACAAAATTAATCAAGATTCTTTTATGAATTTCTGATTTTAAAATAAATGTTAGAATTAACAAGAATATTTAAGTTGAAATGGATTTCAACTATTCTATGAACATAATAGATCATTTATTTTACCGTTTGTTCACCGGGTTTCCAATTAGCAGGGCATACTTCTCCGTGCATATCAGTGTATTGAAATGCTTGTACTAGTCTTAGAGTTTCATCTACACTTCGGCCAACTGGCAAGTCATTCATTGTAATTTGTCTGAGAATACCTCTATTGTCTATAATAAACAGTCCCCTAATACAAATGCGAACAAACAAAAATAAATAGATAATTTTGTAGTMAACAGTAGTATTTGTCTAGATTTTACCTCAGGGAATGACCAACATCGCTCAAATAAACCCCATAATCTTTGGATATTTTATGAGTCATGTCAGACAACAGTGGTATTGATAAGTTACCCAAACCACCATCTTTTCGTGGTGTGTTCACCCAAGCCAAATGGGTAAAATGTGAATCCACTGATGCTGCAACTACTTCRGCATCGATTCTCCTAAATTCCTCAATGCGATCGTTGAAAGCTAATATTTCTGTTGGGCAAACAAATGTGCTGCAAACCAATATAAATGATTACCACACAAGGAAGGTGCAGGGTCAAATTTGTGCACTTACAAGTCCAATGGGTAAAAGAAGAACACTAAATACTTCCCACGAAAATCTTTTAGCTTCAGCTCTTGCAACGAGCCATTAATGACAGCTGTGCTCTTCCAATCAGGCGCTGGTTTTGATACTAAAAACACAGAGAGCCATTAAAAACAGCCTATGACTGATATGAGTATATCATACTAATATTAGTCAGCAAGACTTCCTTAGAGCAGACATGCATTAGTTATTACTCACTCAATGCTTTGGTATACTGCAATTTGTGATTGGTGGATTCAATGGTGCTAGATGGATAGACCGATCCATCAGCAAACTTCTGGCATTTGAACTCATCCGCATTGCCAGTCCYGATGCTATTCAAAGCCAAATATGCAAAAACGAAGTTAGCAATCATCATGTCTCCTCGGCTGAGTATGCGAATCTCTTGTCTGTAGTTGGTATTAAAAATCTAAAATCTATAAAACACCGTTTGGGAACATAATGAAAATGACGTAAAAATAAATATTATAGATTTTCAGGATTTGCTCGAGTTWTAACAACTAATAATAATACTTAATATTACTGTCTACTGTTCAATGTTACTACAGTGCAACAGCTAATATTTAATCTTTTAATCTGTTTTCGCGTATTGTCAGTACTCAGTAAGTTGTCGACAACCGTTTATCGTTGTCAAGTGCTTGTTTTTGTTTGGTATTTTTAAAAACAATTTCTTACTTTGTACCGTTATCAGCCGCAATTTGTGTTKACCACGTGATAACAAAAGTAGGCAGAAAAGAAAAAAACGCAGGAACGTTCATGGTAATAACCACACTCATTATTGAGGTACATCGGGTAAATACCATTATTAAATTCGGCGCCAAGCTACAACAGTGTTAACACTAACACTAACGGGATCAAATAGCATGCCGTAGGGTAGCCAGACCACAGATATATACAATAACTAGATAGCTAACTAAGATAGCACTATTGAAACATATTATTTATCCTAAAAATATTTATAGACAGTAATTAATACTAATAAATACTAAAATATATTTATGATTTGTAAAATTATGATCAAATACCCAGAAAATATTATTTTATTATTTTTATGAATTATATTATTTAGATATCATTAATCATTTCAACTTTTTAAAAGTTATGTTAACACTAGGTAGGCCAATWTAATRTATATAGTTATTATTATTATGGGTAAAGAGTTAGGGCAAAAAATTTAAAAATTTTAMTAGGTACCTATATTTTATATGGAACAGATTTTAGTATTTTCGGTCACACATCAACTATGTTTAATATAAATCAAACATTTTTACATTTCATTTAAATAATACAATAACAATAATATCACATGAGCCATGACAATAGGTGAGTTGCCATCTTGCCATATTGTTTTTGGCCAACGCAGAAAAATTAACGTCAAGCTGGCAAAATGCAATCTTGATCAATTTTAGGTATGCATAAGCAGATCCTGCATAGGTTGTACGCATTACACTACTCAGTACTCACCTATAACGACCTACCAATTCTAAGTTTTTTTTTTAGAGATAAATTACAAAAAATGTAATTCTAAACCTCTAAGGTCTCACCCACACGAGCCACTCACCCATCTCTCAATAAACATTTACTTAGAAAGAGTTCTCTATTATTTCTCTATAGAGAAGACTCAACCTTGAAATCCAATTAAATGAAAAAGAACTTTCGGTTAAGATAACAGCAAGTATATCCAGTAATTTCGAAAGCGGCTTAACTTATATTAATGCCTATTGCATCGATATATCTTGGTAAACTGCACTTTCATAACTTCAAATTATAAAAAACAAACATAGATCATAAATTTCTCAAAAATCATTTGAAGCAAACTTGCGTATTTGAGTTTCATATCACRCCGGACAAAAATATGTTATGCAAAAATATAGGTACAAGCGACAAGCCCACCCGTCACATTAATAATCATTATTAATATTATTACAGAATATTTTGTTTTTACCAATTGTAATTACCAATTCATATTTTAATTTTTTGTTCATTGATTTTGTGTGTATACATGTTTAAACTGTTTAAAGTTTAATTTTAATATTATTAAAAAATTGTTTTAAAAACATTAATTTACTATATATTTTGATAATTTATTTGAGTGAAATAATACATGTTATTTTAGTACATAGGTAATTAAGAAAAATAATTAATGATTTTGATTTAGAGGGCCTTGACAGTTCTACATTAAATCATTATAGGGAAAGGGGCCACGACAAAAAAGTTTGAGAAGCACTGTATTATTACAGTAACAATCCATTGGCGTTAATAGGATGCTTAGGGGCGGGGGGAGAGTCTTAGACTGATCTTAAAAATATTAGCCCCCCCCCCTTGAAGTTTCAGGTAATCAATGGATTTTAATGGACCTATACCAAAGAGCTGTAATATTATAAGACCATTTGAGTATGCCATGAGTGACCGAGTGTATTTAATATCAATATCATCGTAACAGTGTTATGTCATCGCATTCTATAGTTAAATAATGATACACACGAACCAACCGCGACTGAACATTAAAAAAAATCACGTGATGGGGTGGAAGTTGCCTAAGCAACACCGATAAACATATTTACCGATTGGGACGATCGTTTGAATTCCGTAAGGCGCAGACGTGTTMCTATATTATATTATATAGTATAGTTACCATAATTTCACTGGCACTATAATATAGTTAAGTGCACATAATATAATTAAACAATGATATTTTGTGTGTATTTTCTTCTGCTATAATAATTTAATTTTTTAGTGTCCCGACGCCTTTTCGCTGAAGAGTCATATCCGGTCTCATCATCATTACAACTAAACCGCAATGTCTTATATTATACTATTTATACTATAATCATTATAGTATAATGCAACTGCCACGGCATCTTTTTCGTTCGGAAGTTCGATAACATTACACTATTGCAGTATTGCGTATGTTTGATTACCTATATATACGCGTATTACACCGAACCKATCCGTTGGAGGTGTGTAATATTATAATTTATTATTATTGTTATTATATAGACTCAAACGTAAACGCAAACGATTGATTGGACTTGAAAAAAATCTGAACAACAACTAGGTACATGCGATTTTCGTAACCAGATTTTGGATGTAATAATATTATACAGGTATGTAGGTAAATTTAAATTATTTTTATTATTATTATACCTACTATTACCAATTATTAGTAATAGTAATAATTACTAGTACCTATTATTATTACCTATTATTATTATTGTAGAATACGTCCTGCTGGTTGCTACTAGAGCACACATCCAAATCATCCATTAGTATAGTACTTTTATCTAATAACATTTTACAAGTACGTAAAATAATAATTATTATTATATTATATAATAATAATAATAAAAGAATTGAAAATTGTCTGAGGAAAATTATTGTTGGGATAAATATTACAATTTTAGTCCTTTAAGAATTAAAAATAATCATATTGATTAACAATTTAAAATTTAAAAAAGTGATCCTTATTTCTAAAAATTCAGTTTGTTTTGCCATAAATTTGATTGCATAGAAATTCAATTGATTAAAAATATATTATGGTCTAAATCTCTAAATAATAATAAACTACCAAACCGACGCAAACATTCCACAATCAAAATTTCAATAAATTCCTTTATAAGAGTAAATTAGAGATGGTCATAGTGAGAGAATCACCTAAAATATATACAATTTTTAACTTCAAATAATATTTAAGAATGTAAATTTTTTAAGACAGTTCAAATTTTCAAATAAGTTTTTGCGTACATTTATATAATATATGCTGAAACTTAAACTAATTTTGATTTGCATGGTATATCTTTTATAAGATATTCATTTCATTGAGATCAAATTATGATGTTTTTGTATCCACTTATTATTATTACCGCGGTAATAGCGCGCTATTAATGTTCGTTATTATGTTTTAAATTTACACGAAAACTACGGAGTCTACTTTTTAGTTTTTAATCATAGATCCAATTTGTAATTTTGAGATGATGAACCGTATTGATCTGCAGACGTTTTATGGAATACTTATGATATTTTCCTATATAAGCCGCGGTGGGGTATAAGTAGAGAAATAATAATTGTTATTTTAGGTTTATTTTTTTGGTTTCACGAATTGAAAAAAAAAATCATTACTTTTGTTGGTTTAGGTATACAATGTGCATTATCTAATTTGTAAAGGTACGCACAAACAATTGCATAGGCACCGTTCGTATACGCACATAGATAATATTATATGAACGCACGCTCACGACCTATTTTATTCTACTTTTATGAACACAACGATTAATGTATATTAATGTTTGTAAGTTTATGCATATTCGTAAATCGTAATGAAATCGTATCATCGACTTTTATATTTTAGTCACCGTTTGAATAATATACCTATACAGCGAATACTGACAACTGATAATGATAATTAATAATGTTTAAATATTACTATAAACCTGTGAACCTGAAATGAGGCTTGGAAGTTGAATAATATAGTTCAGGGGTTTTCAACCTTTTGGGTTCACGATTTTTCTGATTTTGAAAACAATTTATATGGCTCCCATACTTGTGATAATAATAAAATACACAAATTTTTGATCTTCTACAGAAGATGCGGCTTCTTTGATAATAATCGATGACGCCCCTGGGAGCCGTAACACACAGGTTGAAAGCCCCTGCTCTAAAGTTTATAATACCAAGTGAAATATGTATAAGTTTATTAATTGAAAAATCCTATGTACTATGTAATATGGTATATTTGGAAAATATTTAAATGCTTCTGTTATGAATACATGAATAAAAATTGGTAAATTGTATTGTAAAAAAAAAAAAACATTTTTAAATAAATTATCTTCTCGTAGGTACTCAGCAACATTTATTTTTGAAGTAGTCAAAATATAAAAAATTTGTATTTCATAAAGTCTTATACAGGTTAGGTAATATAATACACTGCAATCGGTTTTCATAAAAAAATAAAACTAAATTCCCTAAATGTTAATTGTAATTTGTAATATACCTATTTAGACATAGAATCGTCATCGAAGATAATATATTAACACTTTTTTTGCTTAAGTAACAAATTATTATGTACAATAAAAAAAAAAATTAAATTATATTTGATTTGTAAATAAAAATTGATGAAATTAGTCATTGAATAACGCATTAGATCACAATAATACTGGTAAATAATTCCAATTATTCATATGGAATATTAAGATTTACGAAATTATCAGCAATTTAATATAAAATGTGAATAATAACTATATATTATATCTTTGAATGTTGTATATTCTTCATACTTATAAAAACAAAAGAAATGTATAACTATATACCAACATTTTTCGAGTTACAAAATTAAAACAATTCAATTTCTACTGCATTTTAGTTTATATTATAATTATCATTGTTGAAGTTAATCGTTATAGATTACAGATCTAAGACAAACTGATATTCATATTTTTTTTAGCGAATTAAATATTATTATTGAAGGAAATGAGTTCGGGGAAAAAAATTAAAACCATTGAAAATGAAAGCGATGAAAACTTACCATTCGATATTTACGATTCGAATTACCCAACTAAAACTATTCCTTCCAAAAACAACAGTAGTTATTTTATGGACCCAAAATTGCCAGTACGTAACGCGTCGAATACCATTGAAACTGCATTGGACGAATACAATGTAGACGACGAAGACTTTATAAGTAAGTATATAACTTGTTATTTATTATTAAAAATTAAGTCGTTAAAAACATAAACTACTTTTTCAAATATATTGAAAAAACAAATACGATGCATTTGTTTGAACAGTTTTGTTTAGTATTTAATTTATGACCTATTCCCTCATTTTAGTTTTTAATGTGTATACGGTGTGACTCTTTAGAAGTGTACTTCGCATCAGGCACTKTACTGAAGCCGTCAGACAAACCGTACGATCTGCGTTCGAAAATCTACGAAGCAAACCGAGAATTGGCAAATGACAGTGAGAACAAATTTGTGAACGTGCCCGGAAAAGTCAAGTTTGACAACACTGTCGTGGTATTGGACAGTTTCGAAGATATTGGTATGGTGTTGTTTGTGTTAGCGTTGACACTATAGTTCTTAATAAGTTTAATATAATATGCATTTGGCAAGGCTATTGCCTATATATTTATATGTACAGCCAATATCCACATTAAAATCCATCTACACGCTACACATGAGCCCTGCAGGTTAATTGGGGAGACGACGAGTGTTATTTATATTTGTTTTTAACTTACTAAAGTCATTTATTATTTTTATATTTTTATTAATTGGGTCATTGGGTGCAGGGTGTACGTATTACACATTATTTTAAATGTCATCTGAAATCTATAAATATAATAAATTACTTTTTTTATACTCCTGGTTTTTATATTTTGACAGTGTAGTATAGTAGCTAGTAATACTATGGTATTATTAGTTTATCAGTTTTTACCATCTAAAATTTAGATTTAAATTTATTAAATAATATTATGTTTAATCGTTTTCTATTAGACCTTATGGCTTATACGAGTATATCAAACCATGCTGCCAATGACATACCCAAGGGGGTGTTAGTGTGGGGAGAGGGGGTAGTGTTTGGTGTTGTATTCCCCCGAAAATATTTAAATAATAACAACATTTTCATTAACAATTAATTTTCAAAAAAAAAATTTTAACGTCCCCTCGTCTTAAATATTTATTTAATATTTTAGTAAAATATTATTCACGTGGGTCTATTGATGAACTTAAATAGATGATAAATTTGCACTGTTACTATAAGACATCTTAATAATATTTATAGGTACAGTGTCGATCGGCACGGAAACACTTCAAGGCGCCGAAGTTATTGTTTCCGATCTTCCGATTGATGACTCTGAGGATAAAGACATTTTGGCCAAAATTGATTTGTTAAGAGACGATGATGCAGACGACCAAAATGATGTGGTGTGCAGTTCTACTACCGATAGGACGCAGGACACTGACACAGATGATAAAGCTTATTCAAGCACTTCCTTCAGCAGGAGTTTTTCGTCCGATTCCGACGACCCATTGTTCATAAACGTCATAGAGTCCGGGGATGAGTTCAAAACGATCATGGATCGGAACAATAAAACGCGCCAAGGATCGGCGATTGACGAGCAAGTTACGTACTTCCCGGAACTGTTTACTCATACGCAATACAAGATGTACGAAAATTGTGCGGAAAGACCATTGGAAGACAGTGACGTAAATATATACGTACCCAAGAAATTGGATGCAGAGGAGCTAAGAAACAAACTAAAGGAAATCACCGGAGAGCGTAAACGTGCGGTGCAGGTAGCAGGGGCGTTGAATGACAAAAAAATCGACTGCAGGCCCATGAAAAAAGTCGGTTGTTTCACTTCGCTGCAGAACGTGCAAAAAAAAATCAAGCAAAATATAAAAACAACCGAGAAAAAGATCCAACCGTCATCTGCCCAGATGCAACAGCCGATAATTCACTGCAGTAACAATAACAACAACAACAACAACCGTAATATTAATAAAAATAACAAGGCTCGCGTAACATATTACTTTGAAATGGACCCAAAGGGTAAACTCAAACCACTGAACAATAAGAACAACCGGCATGCAAACGATGAAACGTGTTCTTCGAACAATTCCAATGACAAGTCTGCGAATAGATTCTTCCACATAAATCTGAGGGCGGCGAAAAAAGGGGATAACGCCAAGCCCCGGATCACCAAGACGCCGAACGCGGATTTGTTTCTGGAATTTCAGACGGACAAGTCCGGCAACAACAAGGGAGCGAAGCTAGTGATAAAAAAGAAGCAGTCTACAGCCGGGGAAGAGTTGGAACACAGCCCAATTGGAGGTACCACCAAGAAATCTTCTGCTGTTGGCAGCGGCGATCGCCCTCGTTTGCCAGGTTATAACGGCCTTCGATCCGAGTACGGACTGTCGGCTGAACAGCTGTTAGAGAGACGCAACACAAGAATGGAAAAAGAGAGACGGAGGAAAGAGTTAAGGCAGAAGAAACACGAAGAAGAGGAGAAAAAGAGGGCAGAAAACGAAAAAAATTTCTACAAATGGTTGCAACAAAAGAAACAGCTGAAGAAACACGCGAAGACCATCAGACGCAGTTATCCCATGAACAGATTGACCGTGTCTTCCGCAAGAGTTTCCATGTAAGTTTTTTTCATAAACGCGTAACTATGTATACATACAATATCATTTGTTTGGTTGCATTATTTTTATTTATCTTTATTATAATTATTAGAAATTCTCCACACGACGGTGATCAACGCAAAGGATCGTTTGCTCTGGAAGAGTTATTAAAGATCAAAGACGAGAATACCGGATGGTTTAAATTTTAAAAAAAATATCGTTATTTTCTTTTAATTGGATAAAGATAAAAGATAATTTATATTTTTTATCAGTTATTACTTATTATGATATATCTTAGATATGACTGTGAATTACCTACATGCAATGGTCGAATAACCTACGGTGCATTGAATTTCAGTATTATACACAATGCTATATACTATAGGCAGGAACGGCGCTAGGATTTGCGGGGCCCCGGGCAAAATAAATAACAGTCACATTACATATTATTCAAACAAACTAATCTCTGAAAGTCTGAACAGTATAAAATATCATTTAAGAACTGCGGGGCCTTGATTATAATTTTAAGATCGCGGGGCCCGGGGCAACTGCCCTGATTGTCCCCTACCTCGCGCCGTCCCTGACTATAGGATATAAGTGTATTTAAATGAGATATTTTCAATAGTATTCTATATATGTGATTCTCAACATCTTTGTATCTATCCATCTTTAGTACTATACATACAAATGTTGACTTATGTAACTTTAACTAAAATGCACTTAGATTTTTAATTTTTATAATTAAATTTACATATTTCATCACGAACTAAATAATTTAAAAAACCGCAAAAATTATGTAAAGAGGTAATTCCATATAACCAAAGTAAAATATTCAATTATTATTTTTATAAATGTGCAAATGATTGCTATATTTAAATGTATTAAATTTAATATTTTATAAGCTTAAAAATATTTTATCTATGTTTAACTCGTGAGCTTTTAAGGTTAGGATATTATATTACTATATATTAAATTATTTCACGTTGATATAATGATGTTGAGAACAGCACTATTCTAAAGAATTTAAATATTAAATGTACGCTATGTAAATATATATGGATTGACAATTGATATTATTGAATTATTTATACAATAATTATACTATAATCATATCACTGCCTAATGCCTCCGACTGGTAACTATGTATTCTTCCAACCTGTCAATTTTTTTCTTGAATATTATAATATTTTACATTTTTTTATTGTCACTTTTTATCTAGTATACACAATCACACTTGTATCTCATAGAAAACGATTAAATAATAAAAAATATTAATAAAGGCCATTTGAAAATTCCAAATTTTAAGTTTTATACTTTTTTATAAATATTTGATAATATATTATTCAAAATACATAAAAATACATTTTTGTTATCAACTATTTATAAGTTATGGTTAATGATGTTGAATTCACGTTTGTTATTTTCTTATTAAATACGAAACTATATACTCTGTTAGTAAATAATAATTAATAATGATAATATGTAGACATACAGTATCCAATCAATAGATTGTTAGATTTAACATAGTACAACGTAGTCATAATATATTATACATACTATTATTCATAGAGTATAGATTATATATATATTTTTTAAACATGATTATGTGTTTATAATACTATAAGATTGTATCAGAATCCAGTAAATATTCAATAATTGTAATATTTTATTCAAAGTAGAATAGAGATATTTATAACAATTACTTATTAGTTAACTTAAAAAATAAACATAGTAAGCGTCGATATTTAAGAGTTATAATCGAAATTTAGAATTGTAATTTATTGTTTATTTGTGTGTATGAAAATAAATRTTATTTATAGCTGTCACCACAGTCATTAAAATTGTTTAGTTTTCTTGCCTATATTGGTAATTTTTAAACATAAATCTTTATAAATTAGCATATGATAAAGGCAACACCACTGTTGTCAACTACGTGTTAAGAGGACGCAACACACATATTTGTTGTCTTCGTCTTACAAGTGCGTAACATGGTAAGTGTACACTTAACAGCTAGGTCACGTTTAATTCCATTAGCTTAAAAACTAGAGTAAATTGCCCTATTATGAAACTTTGTGGTAAAAACATTATCTGTGTTTGGATGTGGATTTTTTACGATAACTTAGTTTTTAAGTGAGTTATGAGCATTTTTAATTTATGCTTTTTATGTACGCATAACTTGCTACAAAATTTAACTATCGAAAGAAACCCGCGTACAAATATAGATTATTATAAATTATAATGTTCTCAACAACAAGTTTCATAATAATAGGTCTATTTACTCTAATTTTTAAACTAACGGAGCTAAACGTGATCTGATGAACGTAAATTCGCTATGTTAATATATGTTATGAACTTGTAAGATGGAGACGACAAATGGTTGTGTAGTGTCCTCTTAATCTAATTTAATGTTATTGATTTTTTATTATTATTCATAATATCAGTCGGCCGGCACAGTGTATAGGAAATTTCGGTACAACTTGGTGTAAATAGGCTACGGAGAGTATCCCACGCTATTTTTCTATAAAAACAAATTTGTCGAGACACAACAACACACAACAACCAAATTATTAATAAATGCGTTGCTGCGAAAACAACGTGAAAAGTAACACTGAAACCCGAGAACCCGAGTAGAGACAACCCGTGACTTTTTTTTGATAATGAACGACAGATCATTCACGGATTTCGGTGATTGAATTTTTGTTATTTGTGTTAATTAACTACACTGCAGTTAAGTTTTCGTGATAAACTCTTCGACGTGGTCATATTTAAGTATTAATTACTATGAATTCAGTATGAGTTGTAATCGCGATTCTATTTGGTTGTAATAAAAAAATGTTATTACTTACTTGAGTACTCTTGACTTCATTCAGGGGCGTCATTTGGGGGTTGGCAGGGTGTGCGGTTGCACCTCTTACTTTTAGAATGTTACAATTGGCCTGCACCTTGCTGAAGCCTAAAATAATGCACGAGCCGCGAATGCACAATTATTTTTTATAATTAAAATCAAATTGTAATAACCGGTCTATAATGTATGAAAACAATTGAATGCAGGATAATATACATATACGTATGTATATCTATTTTTATATGGCCTGGTGAAATTTCAAAATGGCCTGCTTGAAACTTCGCACACCCGAAAAAAAACCTGAAATGACGCCCCTGACTTCATTTGCAGTGTGCTTTCGATTAAGGGTGCAGTACAAACCGATAACAATCTAGGAGGGACCACCAACCAATTTGTAAATAGCGTTTCACCGGCATTTTGTGTAAAAATTTTCATATACAAGTGTAGTTTCAATGAAATTCGCATGGTTGTGTTAAATGGCCAATTGAAAAATTGTGCAAATTTCCATATTTTAATGATAACACTTAAACACGACTTTTCATCAGATTGATCGATAAAATTGAATATTGAATATATGAAAATGTATTATTAAACAACTGTAACTTTTGGACTTGTTTCCACACAGTTATTCCTGCATAAGTGCTGTAATCAGCATCAAAAGTACTAAATTAATTACATTTATTACAGATAAATATTTTTTTTCAATTATCTTTAATTCAACAAATAGAATTGATTTAAATTTAAAGAGATTTGATTATTTTTCGAGTGAGATAAACAATACGGTAATAATTAAAATATTATTTTAATTAAAATTATTCATATTATTCTTGGGGAAAAATATTCGGGCGACTGAAATGTTGCCTACACTGTAAATCGAAGGCGCCAAAAGACAATTTCGTTACGTCCGCCGCCGTTCCCATTTGTTGGCGCACAGAACTACACAGAGAAGACTGTGAGGCTGAAGTATTTGCCTTTTTTGGCCTTTTGCAGTTTTTGGGTGATTTCGTTTCAATGCGTCATCTTTCAAATTTATAATCTATCCGTTTGTCGGTGGTTCTGTTGTATTTCCGTGCCCTATAGCCTTCAGTTCACGAATAAATATGGATTGGATTCATTGCAACTCGTGTTTTGTTCAACCTGGCAAAGAAAACGAGCAAAAAAAACAATTTCACTTGACCAGCTGCGGCCATATATTTTGCGATAACTGCACTTGTTTTGCGGACGGTGGGTAATGCTCAATTCATTATAAAGTGATTTTGTATAATAAATACCTTTTTAGCAACATGATTGAATGTAGAATATTTTTTGCGACATAGTCGAAATGCTGTAATTTATTATTTTCCCGTATTATTATTTATTACACATTTACACCAAACACCAATAATTATAGGTTTATTACACCTTATAATTCATAAGTTATGAATTCATATAAATATATAATCCTTATTTTGATGATCGTGTGGTTAAAGATATAATTAATACATCAATACAAAGATAGTTGCCGAGGGTATATGTTTATATAATTTAAAAACCAAAAAGATAATAATAACATGTACTAAATAGTAATACTTATTCAATAACTGTGTAAATAGAAATGTAATAGCGATATTTTAAGCACCATAGTTTATAAAAAAGTAATGTAGTTTTTCAATTTTTATCTTTGGTTGTAATATTTTTAAAGTTTGTTTTTATTTTAAATATAAGAAAATATTACAATTTTACAACTAAATTTATTTAATAATATTATTATTTATTTATATTTATTTAGTAATTAGTAATAGAATTTGGCTGTTTTTGTTTATAAAATTATACAAATTAATTTCCAGGGACTTCAGATTGCTGCAGATATTGTAGGAATAAATGTTCATCAACTGTGATAGGAGAAAAAGTAATTAATAAATAAATAAAAAGAACATTCTTTTTAAAAACTATAAATGTGGATGTTTACTATTAATAATAATTTATCAGGTTATTACTCAATCCCAAATTTAATATGTTAATAAAAATATTTTAGTCGTTTAAAACGAACCCACAAGTTTTAGAATATTTTCAAGAACCAGAAGAAGTCTATGCAAAATTACTCAAAGTGATGAAATTCCAAAAAGCTCATCGTATTAAATTAGTTGGACATCATCAGTATATTGTAAAATACTCATTTTTTTAATATTCATAATTAGTGTCCTAGTTAATTCTATCATAAGAAATTTTTTCATCCTATAATTTGTGTAGATATCGAAATACAATAGAGCAAAACTATATATTAAAAAACTGGAGAGTGAACTTAAGATTGCTAAAAAGTATGTATATCTTAAATAATATATAATAATTATAGACATTATTAACACAATGTTAATTACTTCACTCCTACTTAAAATATGTATTAAATATTTAATAATAGTTAATACTAATATAATATTTTAATTTTAAGTGCATTGCGAAATACACCACAAAATTCTCAAAGCATAACAGATACCCGATCTATTTCGTCGCCAATTTTTCCCCAAAATTCAACGCCATTTAATATGATAAATGCAGAAGCAAAAATTCACAATACTCCTGCAAATATGAAACCTAAAATGCCTGATATGAGACATAGGTAACTACTAGAATAATTAAATATTTTATTTTTGTTACAACATAATGTATATATTTTATTAAGTGTATAATTTTAAAAAAAAGGAAACAATCATTTCGAAATGAGTTATCAATTTTATCTACGGGAAGTAATTTATCTGGAGTATCTACACCAGGGTCTTCAGTTTATCAAAGGTGACATAGCTTTTTTTTTTTATAGTTGTTTTATATGATTATTACATATTAATAGTAATGATAAGTGAACTAATGAATAATGAACCTATAATTTAGTGTATTGTAATATTCAAGATTAAACATTTTAAATATATGGTTCAAACTTTTTAATATACCTAAGATCTAAATTGTTGGTTGTAAAATTATTCACTTAATTGAGTTTATTATTTATTTATCCATTAATCTTATAAAATTGATATGTTTATTATTAACATATTAATACATTTTTATTAACCCTTTCACTTATTTCACCCTTATTATTCTTTTTTACAATACCATAGACAGAAATTAAACATGATTGAGATGGTATTTTAATATCTGAATATTTGCATATTATTATATAAAGTACTTTAAAATATGTGAGTAAATAGTTGTAAATTTTTGTAAACACATTTAAATATTTTAAATTTTGTAATGGGTGAGGAATGAACTCCCTAACCTTCTCCAACTGTGTCTTAAGGCCCAACATTATTACATTTTCACATTTATACTTACATTACTGGTATTTATTTTTTTTTTTAAGTTTCAATAACAAAATTTATAATTAACCCACTAAAAATCTGCTTAAGCTAAATATACAAACTAAAATTTAATAAATTGAAAATTTGTTGTTAGTAACATTAAAAAAAATTTCTAAGAAAATTAAATTGAAATAACATAATAAAAACAAATAAGTTATTACTAACCACACTTAAAATAATTCAAATGAGGTATTATTGATTCTTGATGGATCATTGAACAGCTTCAGCATCCCATATTAATTAACATTCTATATATATATTTTAGTCCTTTCCAAGAAATTCACAGTGAAAAGTACATGCCTACGATTAATAACTTACAGTTAAATTCATTAAGACATGAGTAAATATAACTACATATTATTATTAAGAAATCATAAATACTAAATAATATAATTTATTTCCAGTTATCTAAAAAAGAATCAAAAAGACCTGTAAAAGAAAACAAGTTTAATTATAGTTCAAGTTTATTAGATTTAATATATTTTACAAGCATGTATGTAATTTCAAGTWGATGAAAAGGTTATTTTTTTAAATTAAATTAACTTGGTTTTTATATTTATATATTATATTGTTAGTGTATAATATTAAGTGTAACCAGTATGCTTTTTTAGTTTTATGTTCCACTCATTTATGATAAATACATAAACATCCTAAGTAAATTATATTATGTTTTAGATTTTTTTTTTTAAAATAAATATTGTTTTCGAGTAAATGCGGGAATAAACAGTTCATTTTTTGAGTTTATTATTTGGTTTTTGGCCACACTGTCATTTTTTCCTTTCGGCTTTGTGTGATTATAAACCTTATGACTAGCGTTCCTTTGGCGATTATTTGAATTATTCCGTATCGACCGTATCTCAATAAATTCAATTACTTACTGGCTACTACTTACTAGGCAATAATAGGCATTGCCTATTTAGACATTTAGTATTTGTGTGCATGTCCCTACTCCCTTTTTGCCACTGCTTAAATATTGCTACTATTGTATAAAGTATATTATTATTTCACAATCTTTTATTATACAATTAAAAATTAATACTGATCAAAATCTATAATGTGTGACGATTCAAATTTGATGTTATGCTATAACCGCGGATGTGCTGCGAAGTTTGATCAAGCAAATAATACTGAAGGTATGTTGTACCAGTTTTATTTTAACTGAAAATTAGTTGAGAGGTTATGCTCAAACAAAAATCTTAAAATTACTAAGAAGCATAAATCTTAAAACTATCGGTTGGCACGACCAAGAAATTAATTCAAACTATTTGGTTAGTACAACAGTATAACCCATTGGATCAATAAGTAGAACAACTACTAAATTGCCTACTTACAAGTTCCAAATTTTTTGGTGACTTCAATACTGTAATATAAAATTGTAGTTGTGTGTTTGTAGTCTTGCCACTTAAAGTGGTAATGTTACTAGTTATACATCTTATAAAAAGTTGATAAGTTGATATTGAATATTTGATAAAATGTTCATAGACAATTTCCTCTGTTAATTCAATGTAATTTAACAGTTTGATAATTTATTAACAAATTTTTTTTTAACCATTAGATTCCTGCGTATATCATCCAGGCGACCCTTTTTTTCATGACGCCTACAAGGGATGGTCGTGCTGTAAAAAGAAATGTACAGATTTTACCGAATTTCTTAATATTAAGGTAATTCTTATACTTAAAACGATAATTGTACTTAATTACATTATTAGTATGTGTTTAAATATTTAAATGTTTTAGGGCTGCACAAAAGGTTACCACAACGGTAAAAAGCCAATAGAGCCTGAAAAATATGTTCCAGATAAAGATAACAAGGCTGATGTTATTGAATATCATGCCCCAAAACCAGTTTTGTTACCGAGACCATCAGCTGATTTGCCATTGATAAATATTAAGCCGACCATATCTTCTGCTCTCTTACAACAAATAGCTGCTGCTTCTACAAGCAATGCCAATGAAAATGAGACCATTAGCTTAACAGAAATTTCAGTTGGTACTATGTGTAAAAACAATGGATGCAAACAGGTCTTATTAGTTAATGTTTTATTTAAAAAATATATGAACACGGTCTTTATTAGCTATGTTAAAATATTATAGGCGTATGAAGGTGCTGGAAAAGGGAATCCTTCATGTGACTATCATCCCGGTGTACCTGTTTTCCACGAGGGTATGAAATATTGGTCTTGTTGTAATAAAAAGACATCGGATTTTAATGCATTTTTAGAACAAGTTGGGTGTTCTCAAGGAAAACATTGTTGGATTAAAGAAACGGTAATTTCTTGTAATTATTGTTTTTGTTTTTTAAGATAAAAATTATTCAATGATTATTGTTGTGTTTTAGAAAATTCAAGGGCAGACTAATTGCCGTTTAGACTGGCATCAGACTGGACCCTGGATTGTAATATCAATCTTTGGCAAGAAATATGACCCAAACACTTCTTTTGTGAAACTGTCTCCAGTAAAACTGTCGGTGGAACTATACTTCCCTTTTGATAATTCAGTGTTTTCTAAAAACATGGAACTCTATGGGGTATGTATTTGCCATTTTCAGTTACAAAAGTAAATATTTAATTTACGCTAATTTAATTTTTAGATTGTCGATGTTAATACAAGCTGTGTGTCCATGTTGCCCACTAAAGTTGAAATAAAACTTAAAAAGGCAGAAGCAATATCGTGGGGTACATTGGAATATCGAAAGCCTATATTTCAAAATGGTACGAAACTAACTTTTAATTCTGGAACAAATGACAAACAGGATAATTCAAATGCCTTTGTTGAAAGTGTTGACCTTGGAGATCTTTAATTTATAAGACTTATTGGATTTAATTTGTAATTTTTTGATAAACATTTATCATTTTAATCGATATCTTTCAACCTGAAATAAAAATTATGTTTCTGTATTATTTATTTTTTTTTTTTATCACATTTCATTTTTATGTTAAAAGATTATCCCAGTTAATGATGTTTTCTCATTCTAAATCAAATATTAACTTACACTGCTATATATTTTTCCTTATTGACTGAAGATTATTATTTTTTTTTTCCTTCATAATGTTAAAATATTTGTTCGTAATATAGAACAGCGAGATGCCAATTGGAAATTGTAATTTATGTCAAAAACAATAAAATTATACAAAATTTCTCCACATTGCGTAATTGATTAATAATTTTTTTAAATTTCTTGCGCCTAATAGTTGGTTAGATAAGATGAAGTAAAAATTATGTAAAAAATACATTACATTAATTATTTAAATCTTATAGTAAGAAACTTATCTAGAAACAAAGTGACTGTAGACGGCATGTTGGGAGATATGTGAAATAATTTACAAATATTATATATATGTATAATGTATTTTGTAGATATATGCATATATTTATATTATACCTGGAGTCAAAGCCTGGATTTTTTAAGGTTCCGTTGAAATGGAATGATAATTTTTGTCATATGGTATTGGTATTTTGTTGCATATTATTTTTGATTCAATTTTTAGATTCTGAGTGGAGCAATGAATGTATTGATCTTACCATGATTTGTGTTTTGTTTTTATTTTTTTGTGTCTGGTTTTATGTTGTATTTATATTTGGTTACTATATATAGTATACAACAGACAAGACACCTGGTGAATTATACTGTTAATTTCAATTTTTAAATTATAAAATTAAAACTTAGTCTAGGCCTGGGATTTAAATGCCAATGAAAATATCGAAAAATGTATGATATAAAAAACTAAAATTTAACGAAATTGATTAAATTTTCCTACAGAAATTAAGATAAATTTGTTAAACCTAATAATTAAAAACCAAAATACCTTATGTCGTTTTAGTCATGATATAACCAACTGTTAGTGAGTTATATCATGGGTTTACTAAAATATTTGTATTTATAATTATAATTTATATGTTGAATTTTATTTTTTGTTTTAGTTATAAAAATAGATTAGTTAACCTAAAAACGTTATGCGTTACATGACACGATGACGACATAATAATATGTCAAATGTTATAAAAAATATGAAGTTATGCAATTAATGGTCAGTAAATGCCGAAATGCCACCTGAAAGAAATAAGTAATAAATATTAAATACACTTTATGAGAAACACGAATTAAGATAAAACATTAGAATTTTGAAGAAACTATCGTGATGAGAAATAATCAATAATTATTAAATGTCCTTTTTTAGTGTTTTTACCACAGCAGCTGATATATTACCTGACCGGTAACCACGACCGTGTTATTATTATTATCACATTTAACTCTGTGATTACACTATCATCAGAATAGCCTGCAGAGTGCCGCAGACGCGCAGACTCCTCGACAAGACCGAGATCCCATAACATTCCCATTCCAACTCCATGTACCTACCTGCAAACTCCCGTTTCCCGATGTTTGTTGATAACAGATCGCGCTGTGACGTATCGTATCCGTATGGCGACCGATGGCCGACGGGACGGGAATGTGTACAGCTGCTGCTGCAGACTTTCTATAATAATATTGTACACAATGTTCGGTGTTGTTGATAACGACCAGATTGACCATTCGAGTGGACGTTGTTGGAGTAGGAAAATTCATTTGTTTTGGAAAATCTCCTCGTCGTAAATCGCCACCGATCCGCCGTCGTGTGACCTACTGCTCAGCGACCTGCGGACGGCTGCGAGTTTGACGTTTCTCGCGCATTAAGAGCACCGCAGGCCACACAGACCGTTGTTTGGCATTTCTGTGTCCGTCCACAGCCTCATATTATTATGTGGCCCGTCCGTGAAAGTAATGCCGGTTGACCGTGTCTGGTGAAGTAGGTTTTGCTTGTTTTGCGAATCGCCGWAATCATGTTCGGCCCCAGCAACTGTACGTTACCACTGAACAAAGCTCAGGGTAACGATTTGCAGTTACAAAAAGACGTCGAGTAAGAATTTCGATAATACCATTGTATGCGATGCCTCAGCAATATTCCTGTAGACCGTGCCTTGCAGTAGAGTAGTGACAGACACTAGTGATAATTGTAGACTTTTCACTTTCCCAGGCGTCTCACTTGACACCTGAGCACTGACTTAAATATTGYGTACATTTTGATAGATTAATTACACTACTAACTCTAAATTTTCTATCTTTTCATTTTCAAATTGTCTTAAACATTTTTTATTTGTAGATATTTTTCTATTTAGTTGCAAACCAAGCTATTACATCTTGGAATGATTTTAGTACTTTTCTCATTTTAAATAAATTAACTTTATAACAGCCCTTATAATCTGAAAGATTTRAAATATTATTCATATTAAAACCAAAAGTTAATAGTATATACATTATTTAAAGAAAATATGTATCACTTATTAGTTACCTAATATTAATTTCACTTTTAGAATGAAAGTCATAAGTGAATATACGGAAGTGATCAGCTCTTCTGATGCAGATAAAATTATTGAATGTAAGTGTAATGTATTTATTGTCATATTTATTCAGTCGGAAATAGTGTCTGTTATTACTTAGTGTTATAAGAAGCCTCAATATCACTCTAATTAATTGAAATTTTCTCAAATTATGTTTGGTAGCAAATTTTGATTATAAAATCATAAGGTAAAAAAAAAGTTCAATTTTAAATGATTATTAGTAACTTTATGCAAACATAAATTTTTGGTTTTATCAAATTAAAAAAAAAAAAAATCATTTACTAAAGCTATCTAATGCTAGGTCCATACCATACCGTGCTGTGTAGAGTAAAATATATTTAACTTTTAGGTAACATGTTTTAAACATTATTTTTTTTTTACATTATTAATGTATGGCGTATGATATGACACGGTGTGGTTTGAATCTAACTTAAACCTGAGACTCGGAGCTATCTCACCAACCGGTAATAACTAACATAATTGAAAAGTATTTTTATTGACAGATATTGTTTCCAAATAACTTTAAAATAGTTTTCAATTGGTACTAATTGGTTTTTGAATTTGTTGATATAGATGAAATAATAACTGTTGGAGAGTTAGAAGATAGAACATTTACAAATTTTGAAAATTGTATACCAAATGATTTATATAATGATGATCAAGACTCTATTTCAAGATACCAAATGTCTATAGAAAATATATCACTGACAAGTAATACAAAATTTAAAAAACCGATAATTTTTTCAACGCTGTGGCTAGAGACCAGGACACCGGGTATATAATGCGTAAAAATTATATCCCCGGACATGATCTGCGCATGCGCGGGGACTTTGATTTCTGCACAGAATATAATAATTTCTKCGCGACGTTATCACTGTTATCAGTTATCAGATTTAAATAAATTTAATTGATATTGAATACCTAATTATTAATTTACAACTCAATTTAAGATATCTTGGATAACCTAACCTATGCGACTGTCTTGCAAAATTCAAGAT